GCATTAAAGCTAAATAAAATCGTTACCAAAAATGAAATTACACAAAAGTCTGATAAAACATGCATTCTTTTTTAAGTTCCCAAATATTATTTGGTTTAGGTAAAAGGGAAAATTCAGCAAGGCTGACGCATTTATTTCAATGATATAGGGGGCAATTTTTATATTAAACAAATAAAGCATAAACCAGAAAACTTGCCTGTTTCTTGCGTGAAATAAATTATCCAATTTTCTCATTTACTAGTAATATTTAAGCCTTCCATCTTATATCACACAATGGCTTAAAACTAGGACAACAAGATTAGAATACCAAGATACGCATTATCGACTATTTTTGCCATTTTAAAGCGGAATTGTACAAAAAATGGACTTGCCCAGCAGTGACGTAGCTATAAATTTAGCTTCCATGGCGAAAATGTAACCTCGGACCCCTAAAACTAATGGTGCTATTCTCTAACGAAATGTTAATGATAACATAATGTTAACTGTCTGTTATAAACAAAAATAAGATGTCAGTCAGGTTTTTGGTATAACTATTATAATAATATAAAGAAAACATAATGTTAACATTAACATTATGTTGCTAACATTATGTGCTAACATTATGTTGCTAACAGAGCCTTTGAATATAACACCATAAACTAAACAAATTTTTTTTATGTTATATTATAAGGGTAATATTATTATAAAAGAGATTTTTCACGAGGATGAGGTTTGCGTCTCGAGTCGCCAGGCGAGAGCGCAAATAATCCGAGTGAATAATGCGCATAATCTCAAGTCTAATATAATAGTACTTTATCTACTTCAACATAATTACATGATTTTTAATAATAAATAAATAAAATCTAACATCTGTCAGATGGTTAACCTTACTTTCAACCAATTTAAAATATCATTATAGTTAGTCGCTTTTTCCAAATTTACAACCCGATTGGTTCAAATCAATGTTTATAATAAAACTGGCCAATCACTAATGCCTAATAATATATTTTAATGAGTTCATTATTTCCGTTGTTCATCATCATTATATACGAATAATTTTAATATTTGAAAAGTTTATATGAACATTGTACTGACCTTTTAATTTCGCCGGCAGTAAACTATAACTTAATTTCGGCCAAATAGACATTTTCTTTACTTTCACTGTGAAAAACTCGGATTAAACGGTGTATTTTCAAGGGATACATTTCGATTCACACATACAAATTTGACATTTGACATTATTACACATTCCAAAGTTACTCTATTGTTTTATAGATGTCGCTCTATACAAATATAATAATAATTTGATAATAGTATAGTATGCAACTCGTTTATAAATTTTTCTAGGCACTCATTTAATTAAGCCCTCGCTTGCAAGCTTGCTTGTGCCTAAATTAAATTCGTGACTAAAATGGCGTTTATCAAACTTAATACATAATATACTATTATAGTGTTGCATATAAACAGTTATTTAGTTATAATCATATATGCTGCGAATTATTTTATTATAGCATAATCCCAATGTCTAAATATTAAATATGTCAAAATTTGTCAAAAAAATCAATAAATTTATTCCCGACAAAACTGAAATGGGCAATGACGAAATAATTGGTATCTTCAAGAGTTTTATAATTTAAACTGTATTATTGTCAACACTTACTACCATACCACTATATACACTAGGGTGTCCGTTATTTACCAACTTGTTTATTTTGTTTGCAGCGCCCCCTAAATTTTTAGTTTATGACCTAAAAAAAATTGAGTATGAGTATGAGTATAAGAGACGTATAACCAGCCCCATTTCCTCTTGACTCTCGAACCCCGTACAGGCCTATGTTTACTTACGCCGATTTTTGTTCTTCCCCAGCAACTGCACGGCTTCACCCGTGTTTGCTGGGTGCGAATGTCCATTGCGTTCCGTACTGTCCCCTATTTGGGGCTCGAGAGCGAGAGGCGAATAGTTATAATAGCCATTCCCGGGTTCGCCGAGCCTATGCTATACGCTCAGTGGGGTATGGAGGAGGGACGGGAGGGTGTTGGTTCTTGGGGGACAATTACACCGACTTAAAACTAAGTACGACGCGGAATCCCCCTAGACCAGTCGATTAGTATTACTCCAAACATTTGGGATTACTATTTGGAGTTAGGGAGTTGTTATTTCGCTGCAGGGGTGTAGTTTCCTAGTGTCGAGGTCTTTGTCTTGTTTGTTATTGTCATTGTCCGTGTCCTGGTCAGATAGATCCTGCCCTTGGTAAAGTGTGTCAGTTGTTTTTAATAATTTTTGTCCCAAGCACGTTTTGTGGTAGAGTTCCGTCTTTGTTTATCAAATTCCAAATCATTGCATTTATTCACTAGTCAAACAAATCACAAGCGCGATTATTCTGTTGTCTAATGTTTACAAATGTCGAGTTTGGCTATTAGGCCCTTTTTTTTAATGTGTTAGAATTATGATCAATGTTAGTTTACTCTGTCAGTCCAGTGTTTATTTTCGGTCTCGATTGGGACCGCCTTACGCATTTGCTGTTAAAGATATCCCAATAAACACTTTAACGATACCTATCACCATCAACATTGCCCGTGTAAGAATTTTTAACACTTTTTAATACAATTTTGCAATGATAGTAATTAAAAACAAAACAATTGTTTAAAGAGTAAAATATGTTCTTAACATAATCATATTTTAAAGTTATTTTAACATTTTCAAGTAAAATAAATGTTATGTTTAATAAAATGAATACGGGCAATGTTAATGGTGACTAATAACGGAAAATGCTTGCTGGGATCTGCTGTATTTATATTGCAGATTTGTATCAGGTCATGCATACTCTTAAAGTAAAACTTATCAGATGTTTCCCCTTGCGGATGGCCACCTCCCCTCTTCTCCGACCTCCCCCGTCCGTCCAGTGAAAAGCCTCCAATGACAGGTGGCACCCAAGTCATTCATATCACCCAACACTCCACTCCTCAATGACCGTTACACCATTTTAGCTTGCACTCCATGAAAATGTTTGTTTCACTTATCAGTTCACACCCCTTTTTTTTAATTATTGTTGGTTTCATCTTTAAACTTTTACGTTTCATAAGCTCTCCCGCACGCGAGTCGCGTGACGCGACTCGTCTTCTCGAGCGATGGAACCGAACTGTTTATGACCTAAAAAAAATTATTAAAAAAATTATAAAAAAAATATTCATATTAAACCGTGCCACAAAGACGATACATTTTCCATTAAAATAACATGGGGTTTCGGCAAGTTTTACATTTAATTTTTTTTCTCCCGAGCAAGTTAATATACAGCATTAAGGGACACATATTTTTATAGAAAATTGAACGCTGTACAAAAAATCTTTTTAAGTTAAACTTATAGTAATTTTCTAGATTTTTACTTTGACTGATATAATTATTTTTATGAAAATGAATTGTTTATTTTTGAAAATATGAGATTTTATTGTATTATTGAAAAAATAAAAATTATTGAAAAGAGATAAGTTAAAATTATCGACAAGAGATTTCGATAAATTCACTTTTTTTTATTACATTAAACGAATCTGGTACTAGTTTTACTCAATTTTAGTACGATTACTTTTTTACATAATCTTTTTATTTCTGTGAAATTCTACAAAATTTTATACGATTTTATAAAATATTATACAATAAAAAGTTAGTACAGCTAATGACGTAGAAATTCTTTTAACAATTATTTTGCCGACAAAATAAAATTCGTAGTTACGTATACGTTGTCTTGAGTATGAGATGCAGACTTTTCCGCTACACCAATTATCCTTTTCAAAAAAGGTAAATGTATTTATCTAGTTCTACATTGACGATCTGTGACTTTATGGCGCTTTAGTCACGGGCTGAAGTTGGCAATAAGTAGTGGTTTTTGGGAATTTTAGTCACGGGCTGAAATTAGCTTTATTATACATTAGAGAAAAGTGAGGTTAATTCCATTGATATTTGACAGATGTCAAATGTTTAACAATTATAATTGGCTTTAAATTCTTCTAAGTAAAACTAGTACCAGATTCTTTTAATGTAATAAACAATTTTTAATTTATCGGAATCCCTAGTCCATAATTTTCACTTATATCTTTTCAATAATTTTTACTTTTTCAAATATTTTCAAACATTAACAATTTATTTTCATAAAAATAATGATAATTTTGCAGTCAAAGTAAAAAAATCGAAAAAATTACTATAAGTTCAATTTTAACCTTAAATAACTTTTAAACCAGTGAATTTATCGAAAAATATTAAGAGAGCTTTTTTGTACAGCGTTCAATTTTCTATAAAAATATATATCACTTTTTGCTGTATATTAACTTGCTTCAGAGAAAAAAATAAATGTAAAACTTGCCGAAACCCCATGTTATTTAAACGGAAAATGTATCGTCTTTGTGGCACGGTTTAAAATGAATTTTTTTTGTTATAATTTTTTTATAATTCCTTTTAGGTCATAAACTAAAAAATTAGGGGGCGCTGCGAACAAAAAAACCAAGTTGGTAATTTACCAACTTGGTTTTTATATACCACTATAGTGGTTGATTACCTATCGACTAGGCTGTTAAATTAATTAATTAATTATTAAGTTCCGCGGTATACTCATTAGTCTAAATTTAGACTAATGAGTATACCGCGGAACTTTTTCAGCCATGACGACAAAAATCAGAGTTGAAAAAGTAAACACTTATCTTTATACATGTGCAAAAAATAACTATATCACAATATCTTTATGTAATCGCGCTATACTAATGAGGTATAGGATTTTTACCTCCTAGTCTGTAAAAAACTCTTTAAACCAATCAAAAAATTTGACTACTGTCAGATTTACCTAACCTCACCTTTTGCTTTTAATATTTATCATTATAATTGTTTCTTTTATGTACAGTTTAGCAAATAAAATTGTCCCTTAAAGATAAAACATTCTATAATGACAGTAGAGTACTACTAAAAAAGCTAAAGAAAAAATATAAAGTTAAAAACAATGAATGAGTTTATGAAGTATTTTATTGTTTTAATTATAGTAAATTACTATTAGTAATACTGTATTTTTATAATTTAAACACAAAAAGTTATAAATAAAAGGATATTAAGGTCAAAATTATTACAAAAAATAATGATTTAAAAATTTGACAGAATGTTATTTATTTATTTATCTGCCTATTACTCCAGCATAACCAGTTACTATAGGAAGGGCCTTTGCAGCTGCGTCCCTTATACGCTGTCCAGCTTTTTCCTAAGAATAAATATATAATATTATTATTATACAAGATTAATAAACGGCATTTTAAGCCTGAGTGTAGCGAGTGGTTAATAAACAAGTGTCTAGAGTAGTTTAATAAACAAATTGCAAATATACTTTTCTACGACGAACACAAAAATAAAATAATTTTTAAAAATAAATAAATAAAATCTGACAAATGTCTGAAGGTTTTAACCTCACCTTATAAAGATCATTATAGTCGCTTTGACGATTGTATGACATTTCACAACTGTCAACTAATTTAAAACTAACTCAGCCCGTGAGTAAAATGCCATACAATCGCAGCTTGTCAATGTAGGAGTAAATAATAGGATATTGTTTAACTATTGAGAAAGTTGGTCATTATCATGAGGATGAAATATGCGACACGAGCCGAAGGCGAGTGGACTAATTCATCCGAATGAAAATGGCCATTTCTTAAGAGTTGAAACTGGAAAACTGGAAGAATTTGGACAAAAACGCGGACACACATAAAGTTTTAAAAACTAAGCATCATTAGAAATAAAATTTAAAAAAAACCACAAAAGGTAGTTCGTAAGCTCTACTTACCACTTTTTTTAGATGCTTTTTGATCCATCCACCTTCTGTGCCAACTATGGCTAATAGTAGGATTAACCCAAAGACCAATAATACTGTAAACTTCATATTTAAATCTTTTATTTAACTTGTGAAAGTTATAAAAACTAATGATACTTTCTATAAAAAGGTGTCACTTTATATAGTGTAGATGTTTTATCATATTTGGAAATAATTTATCATGTTGGGAATTTTTTTTGTAATTTACATGATATGCATCATTTATAGTAAACTATAGTAAATATTTATTTATTAATCTATTGTTATGGTATATTTGTTTTACAAAATATAGAAAATTGATTTTAAAATAAATTATAATGAAAGACAAAATAAAATTTGATGTTTAAAAAAAATAAAATAAAATTGACCATTTTATTGCTCTTGTTTTTGCGTAATTGTCAAAAAAGTTGTAGATGTTTCCATGACACTAAGTCACCTTTTAAATACACATTGACAAGTTGTGGCTTTATGGCGCTTTAGTCACGGGCTTTTAGTTTTAAAATAGTTGACAGTTCTCAAATGTCATACAATCGTTAAAATAAAGTGCCTTTCTTGTAAAATAATACTCATTGTAAAAATTATTTTATTATCTCAATAAAAAAATATATTGACGCCAATATTTGATTTCGCCGTAGTGCAGTTAACTAGATTAAACTGGTAACATTCTCTTCTCTTTTACTGTAAAAAACTGCTTACATATCGATTGTTTGTCTATTTTCAAGGGATAAATTTTGATTTACACAGAAACATTTGTGATTTTAACGCCGGTAGATTGCAGTGATGCCAACTTATCGACTTTGTCGCTAGATCTAGCGTTTTGAGGTAGCCATTTGAGACATTTTTTTAGGATTTGGGACGTGTCTCAAATCTAGCGTTTTTTCACATTGTGTTGGCGACATTTTTGGAGATATTTTAACATTGATAATGAAATTTGTTCCTAAACAAAACAACAAAATAATTTCTAGTTTAAAAATTTTAAATCAAAATTTGTTACGTTGCCATGGCCAACTTGGAACGAGGCATCCGTAGTACGGATGCCTCGTTCAAAGTTGGCCATGTATAAATTTTTCAGTGTTTGACATTTGACGGATGACGTACGGATTCCGTACGTCATCCGTCAAATGTCAAACACTGAAAAATTTATACCTTGCCGACGCAAAATCGACTGAATTTCTTAAAAAAAATTGTATTTCCCTATTTACCTTAAAAATTATTTATTTTATTTATTTTTCTTATTTTTTTTTGTGTAATTAATTTTAATAAAAAATCAACTATCTTAAACTTATATTTTTCTTTTTTAAATTTGCGATTTTTAAGTGTCAAATAATTTAGCGATTTCTGGCGACTTTTGAAGAGCTTGGTTGAGACTTTTCACACTGGACTGTTGGTAACTCTGGTAGATTCCCAAGAAATTTGAACGAAAATTTCAATAAATGCAACTGTCACTTTTTGTACCCTTAACATTTCCCATGTAAAAATGTTTATTACTTTGTGATAATATTTTGCAATTATAGTAATAAAAAAAAATCAAAGGATAAAATGTTTTCTTAACATACCTACTCATATTTTTTGAAGTTATTTTAATATTTTAAAGTATCAATAATTATTAAGTTAAATTAAAATAATAACGGGTTGGGTTGGTAATGGTGAAAATTACGTAAAAAATGTTTATGGAGATGGTTACTTTATTTTCGTATAGATGTCGCTTTATACAAATATTTAATTTAAATATTTTTTATACAGGGTCCGGCATCAGAATTGAACGGTTTTGAAAAGGCTGCTATGGAAATACTATTGATTTGGTATATGTCAAATAATGACAGACTTATTCCTTATTGCCGAAGGTTTCGTGTGCAATGTCAAACTGGCCGGTTAATCAACGTATCTTTGCTGTAAATTCGTTTACCCTGACCTAGTCCTTCGTATACAAACGTATACAAACGCAGAGACGCTTTCGTCGTGAATATAATTTTCAAGTGCGAGCTGAAGTCCCATAAAAAATGCCATTTTGAGATGGGTAAGAGATTTTAACGAAAGAGGCAAAATTTGCCGCTGGAACTCGTACAGTTTGTACACAAGAAAATATTGGAAGAGTCAGAGAAGCGTTTGAGCGGCACTCGATTGCTCTACACATTTTAGACCGAAGTTTGCGACGAATGTTACATCTGGATTTAAAACTCCATCCAAAAAACCGACAGACCAGAGGCAAAATCCCATTGATAAAGTCAATCGACTCAATTTCTGCACACAATTTTTAATTGCCATTGTACTCGAAACTTTCGGCAATAAGGAACAAGTCTGTCACTATTTGACATATATTAAATCAATATGTAGTATTTCCATAGCAGTCACGAAACTTTCGGCAATAAGGTACAAGTCTGTCACTATTTGACATATATCAAATCAATAGTATTTCCATAGCAGCATTTTTAAAACCGTTCAATTCTGTTGCCGGACCCTGTATAATATTAAGGATTTGTCGTAGAAAAAGTATAGTATGCAACTTTTTTATAAACTTCTAGTCACTCATTTAATTAAGAACTCGCTAGTACCTACTTAAATTAAATTCGTGACTAAAATGGTGTTTATTAAACTTGATACATAATATACTATTATATGTAAGGTTTGCTAACGAAACCGTTTGAATGAATTTGTTTTTAGTGAAATGTGACGTCACGAGTATATTCGGAAATATACGGCTGTTTTTAAAGCCTCATCGGTAGATAAACTCAAAAAATATATATGTATTTCCATTTTTCCAAAAATTACCAAAAACAAAACTTTAATTTAAAGAAAATGTACAAACCCCCCATTGAATTAAGGAATTTTTGATTTATAATTTGTGTTTATGTATTTTTGTCCGAGGTTTTTAAAAATAAAAAATCAGGATAACAATCTCAAGGGTAGTCATGCGCAACGTGTCGGATTTTTTTTATTGATAAAGATTTTTCCTTATTTATAACGACTGATAAGGAAAAATCAGAACACAACGTCCACATATTACGTTAAACGTTGGTCTCGCTGATTTTAAAGTGGTTTTTGTCGTTATTACATTAAATAGAAACATGTACGATAATGGGCGCTTAAGCGGATTAGAAAAAAAATGTTAAAACCCAAAGCTTAAACTTTTAATCGAAAATTACATTCAATTAAGAACTTTTGAACCTGAATTATTTTTTAATTTTAAACTTACACCTACCTCTCTTACAATTTATTATTTTATCGATAAGAATAAAATATATTTCATATATATATATATATATATATATATATATATATATTAGGGTGTTTCAAAAAAATTGACTTTTTCTTTTTCTTCAAATGGTCGGCAAATTCTTTCAGAGGATGTCAACACAAAGACCTCGTCAAAATTTGAGCTTTTAATTTGAAGATTTAGAGGTCGCGGATCGCAATTTTCTATTTCCCATTTAAATAACGTGGGATTTTTTTTTTTTAACTTTGAAATTTTATACGTCTGAATCAAATCAACTTATGTCAAGGATCATCTTAGATTTTCATAGTAAATTTAACGCTCTACAAAAAAGGTCTTCTATCATTTTTCTATAAATTGATTCCTTCCAGAGTTATTCGAGGCCAAAGTTTAATATCCATCGAATTTTCGCGTTTTTTTAACATTTATGGTACAATTATCATTATACGGGTGTCCCGAAATCAGGGGTCCAAACTTAAACAGTGCATTATTCGTATAAAAATAACACTTTTTTTGTTTAATAAACATGTATCAAAAAATGCTCCCTAAAGGAGCTACGGCCCCCTGAATAGGAGCCTAAGAGGATAATTTTTTTAAAACTATTCCTAGAGGGTTGAACATGAACAAATGAATTTTCGGTAGGTACTTTGGTAATTTTGACATGCTGAATCTAGATCTATGATCAAAACTGTTAAAATTTAATCATAGGCGTAACATTTGGAGGGTGCAAAGTTACAAAAATAGCCCAAACTTTTTTCTGGGTTAATAATTTAATTTTTTAATAATTTAATTTTTTTTATGAAATTATGAGAATTTATAGTTTTTTACGAAAAATAGGTACTCTTGATTTGAATTGCTCAGATGCACCATTTTCGAGAAAAATGCATTTATAAATAAATTACTTTGCATATTATACACATCTCATATTTTCATTAAAACTTTGTAGTAGGCTTTGGAAAAAAGTGACGTTTTTTTGTTTTTTTTTACAACACTTCCTATGTTTCAGATATAAATATGTGATTTTTTTACTACATGATGCTAAAAGTTGAAAAAAACGAGAAAATTCGATGGAAATCAAACTTTGGCCTCGAATAACTCTGGAAGAAATCAATTTATAGAAAAATTATAAGAGACATTTTTTATAGAGCGTTAAATTTACTATAAAAATCTAAGATGTTCCTTGCCATAAGTTGATTCGATATAGACGTATAAAATTCCAAAGTTAAAAAAAAAAATTTCCTATGTTATTTAAATGGGAAATAGAAAATTGCGATCCGCGACCTCTAAATCTTCAAATTAAAAGCTCAAATTTTAACGAGTTCTTTGTTTTGACATCCTCTGAAAGAATTTGCTGACCATTTGAAGAAAAAGAAAAAGTCGATTTTTTTGAAACACCCTAATATATATATATACATCACACCAAGTGACCTTAAAATTTTAATAAATAAACATTGACAAGTTGTGGCTTTATGGCGTTAGTCACGGGATGAAGTTAGCTTTAAGTTAGTTGACAGTTGTCAAATGTCATACAATCTTTAAAATAAAGTGCTCTTATTGTAAAATAATACTAAATGTGAAAATTAATTTATTAACTCAATACAAAAATACCAAAGCATTAAATAGTTTCTCAACGCCAATATTTGAAAAGAATGTGTAAACATTGTACTGACCTTTTAATTTCGCCGGCAACAAACTAGATATTACTTTAATTCGGGCTTTGACTCCACCGTGAAGTGCTCATAAAACATTTTTTTACTTTCATTGTGAATATTATTCGCAGAATAACTGTTGTTAATCCATTTTCAAGGAATACATTTCGATTTATAACACAAAAATTTGATATTTGAGGCTAACACAGAATCCCTTATTGTTTTATAGATGTCGCTCTATACAATTATTTCATTTAAATCATTTTTAGATAATAATAAGTATTAGTCGTAGAAAAAGTATAGTATGCAACTAGTTTATAAACTTTTCTAGACACTCATTAATTTAAACATTCGCTCGCAAGCTCGCTCGTGTCTAAATTAAATTCGTATATACTTAATTTTCATAAAAATTAAATTAAATAAAAGCTGATTTTTTGATAATAAGTCTTTCTTTTAATTGTTATGTTTGTTAATTTTATAAATTTAACTATTAACAAAGCAATATAATCATGTTTTTTACAAAAAAGTCTCATTAATATTAACGAGTTAAGTATTGATTTTAATCCATAAATAAAAGGGACAATTATTTATTCTTGTAGATAACAAGTTTAAGTTTTAATTATTTTTTACTTATTAAAAGTTTTTTAACCATACAATTGTATTGTTTGTTTATAAAATTTTAATGGGTATTTATATACAGACTGTAATTCTAATTCTTAAAAAGTAAATGCCTGTACGAAAAGAATTATGGTACTAGTATTAATGAACTGAGCAAAGTACATCATGTACATAACATTAATTAACACCATATAAGGAATATTTAGATATATCTATTAATCTATTAATAGCTATACATGGCTTTCAATTAAAAACTAGCCACCCTTAATAACTTTTTAGTTATAGTAAATATCCCAGACCGCAAAATCACATTCCCTGCGTATGTCAGGATATTCTCAGGATTATTCCAAGCGTACCAGAATATTCCCAGGAATATTCGTGGCGTAATCAAATGTCCGCTTTTTGGTTAACCCAGTCATCATAAATTTATAGGGTATTTCCTTTTGGTAGGCTGGTCCTGGTCTCTTGGCATTAAATTATTTAACAATTGAGGAGCATCCGTTCAAAACCGGCTAAATCCATTTTATTCAGTTTTTGTTTTTTTTTTGATTTCGCATCTTTGGGTTCATTTCTATCGACAACCAAGATAATTCAGTTTAAATCCGACTAAATCCATGTTAAAATCACATTTAAAAGGTAGCTTTTGGAGCAAAACCGGCCAAATCCACGTTTTTATAGCAAACCCGGCTATATCCAATAAATAATATGTGGCTTGAATATGTCGATACTACTACTAAAATTTGTTCTGTTTTTTCATGTTTGCACTAAATTTATTTTGTTAATATTTTTAAATAATAAAGGGTTTTTTTCACATTTTATTCGTTTTTTATTCGGTTTTCGAGCAAAAACGGCTATATCCAAAACATTTTTTGAAATTTTGGCCTTAATATAAAGTTTTTGAAAACGAAAGTATGTCTTATAAATCAAGTACCACAAAGCCCACAAAACTCAAGTTTGCTTTTTCTTTTATCTGTAAAGGCCAGGAAACCGAGAGTTTTTGCCATTTTCCCATTATTTTATTAAAGTAGATATAGCCGGTTTTGCACGGATGCTCCGCAATTGTATGTTGTGGGACTTTTTTTGCAAATTGTCCTGCCAGCTCTTTGAACCGTTCCAAGATGGGTGTGATCTGTGTTGTTTCATATAGAAGTTGATTTGATGGATTGTGCAGTAGATATTTCTTATGCTTCTGCGTTCTGCCACTTCGTGCTTACTAACAGTAGTTTTTTTTCAATTAAGATATATTGAAAAAGCATCCCAAGCAGCATTTTTGGTTCCAAAAACCATTGCCAAAGTGGTGATAACTTTAAATTAGTTAAGTATACTAAACAGCTACTTTAATTTTTACTTAAAAGTAATTTTAACTTTTAAATAGCAATATTTTGTAACAGTAACTTAATTTTTCCTTAAATGGTTACTATAAAGTAATAAACATTTAAGTAAAACTTGGTTGCCCCCAAGAAGACTTTGCAACTTTAAAAAAGGTGTTATAAGTAAAAAAAACTTTCAAGTAAATTTAATTTGTAGCAGTTACTTTTGGTTGCTACCTAAAGATTACATTATAATTATTTTTACTTTGTAGTCCCTTTCCAAGTTAAAATCTCGAAACTGGAACATGAGTTAAAAACTACAAAGTTAATAGGTAACTTAAAAGTTATTATTTTAGTATTTGGAACGTTTATGGTACTAACCAAAACAACCGTAAAGTGGAAAAAACTTTAAAGTAGCGAAAACTACTTCAAAGGAAAATGCTTCTTATCGGCCATTTTTTACTGTACAGTACCACGTGGTAATGTAAATAATAAATTATTTTAATTGTTTGTAAATGGTTGTTTACTTTTTAATAAATAGAAATTTTGTTGGCAATAGACGGTATTAATAATGAAATCAAAAAATTAATAATAAATATTAAATTTTTTTTATTTATAAACATTATTAAATAAATAATTTGTTTATACTTAAATATTGATGAAGCGCATTTATTTTACAAAAACTAAATTCATAAGTTCAACAGTAAAATTTAAAGGGTTTATAAATCTACCTGTCTAATTAAATATTATATTGTTATTCTGGAAGTTATAAACTACCAGTACATATTTAATAAACGACGACATTGAAAAGCCAAGTCCGTATTGGTTCCATTTAAAAGGGAGGGATAGTATAATCTAATATAAGTTTGACAAAGACAGTTAATATAGAAGTAAACACAAATAAATAAAAGTAATTATAACGCTCTAGCAACGATACTGGAACCGTTCTAGTAACGTAGCAGCTACGTTCCAAATAGTAGCAGGGTTTAGAGCTAGTTACATATTTGCTACCTTTTTGGAACTCAATAATTGTTCCCCACTTTAGTCGTAACTTAGTAATGAAAGAGTAACACTTTAAAGTTTCTTCAATAGTCCCATATACGTAACAAATACTTAAATTGTTGCTTGGGATATTCAATAATGTGCCTGCATATCATTTGGTAGATCTTGACCGCTGTTTCGAGTTGTATCCCCTTATTTTTATATGCAAGGCATCTAAAGTGTTTGGCTCTTGCTATCATCTTGGTTTTCATTAGATTTGTATGTATGTATATTAAAATTGAGTTTGTTGTCCATTTGTATTCCAAGGTATTTGCAAACCTTTGATGGTTGAATTTGTTGGTTAAAGATTTGAATGGTTGGGGAATATATCCACTGATAATGATTTTGCGATTAAATAGTTTTGTTTTGTTGGGATTTGGTTTTATTCTCCACTTGGAAAAAAACTGGATTGTATTATGACAGAGATTTTGTAAATGGAGCATGGTGAGCTTTAAATAAACTGCGCACCACTCAATGTGTCGCGACCAAAAAGTTCGTCCTTTTTCAAAACGACAAAATTTTTTGTTTCTTAAACGATTTTACTTTAGTCTGTCTACTAGCCCCATCCTCTGGCAATTCATGCTATAGATATTTTAAGCTCACGGTCTTCAAGTAAATTTCGTACAGGGTGATATGTAAAACGGTGAAAAATTTCAATAACTTTATCCAAGCCCCGTTTGAAAAAAGAAATATTTTTTCTTATTTTTACTTTGAAATAATGAAGTATTATGTCTGACCTTAAAAAGGTTTTTCGAATTGGAATCTTAGCAACGAAAATATGATTTTTTTTCCAAAAGAGTAGATTTAACGGTTTTTGGTAAGCAATACACTCTTTTTAAGAACAAGAAGATAAAATGTTGAAAGATTGTTCCTTGAATAATTCTGAACAAGCAACAAGCAACAAACTTCCATTATTTTCAGAGGGGCCTAAGCAAAGACCACTTTTTCAAAATGACATTTTGGTGAAAATTTTCGAAAACTAAACCTGAACCGATATTTACGTTCGTGACATGTTTTCTTTATAATTTTGACCTCCTGATTGTGATTCAGTTGTCAAATTTAAGTTTCAGATAAAACCAAAATCACCAAGAATCAAAATTCGAATACAATTCGCGGCTGTTAAATGTCTTAATAAAATCCTATTGCTGGCGTGTTTCTTGCATATTTATGATTAAAATGCCATTTCGGGATTTATTTTTTGGGCGAAATTACTGCTATTTGTTTGAGTGGTTAGGATGTTACATAAGTTACATTTACATTGCGCACTAGTGATAACTTATCACTGACATATCTAATTGGTAATAAAGTTAAATAAAAAAAAATTGTTTATTTAAAAAAAAAAATTACTTTCAATATTTTGTTGGTCCTCCCCTAACCCGTAATAATTCGTTAACCCTCCTGGGCCTCGACCAAGTTCTTTATAAATTCCTGGGGTATCCCATTCTTCCTGAATAGCATTTACCAATTTATCCAAATTTTCTATGCGTCCTTCCCTCTCTTTCATCTTCAGTTCCATCCTGCTCCACACATGCTCAATAGGATTCATATCCGGAGACAAAGGTGGCTAATTTATTCTCTCAATATGGTGGTCCCTTAAATACTCATTTACGATATTGGGGCGGTGCGAAAGGGCATTGTCGTCCACCAACACCAATTATTGGCAATATTTTGAGCATAAGGGACCACGATATCACTAATAACCAATTTTCTATATCTCTCAGCATTCAGTCTTTCCATTCATCGCCATTCCACCCCAAACAATCACTCCTCCACCTCCAAAAGCCACCCTTGCCTCCCGTTTCGTGCAATCTTATGCGAACCGTTGATTTGGATATGTTAATTCCCGTAGCTGCAGCAAAGTCTATTGGTATTTTAATCATTTAAAAGAAGAATGGAAGTAACCTTGGTAAGCTAGGGGTAGGTGAGTAGGTATAACTTGTACAAAAAAACACAAGCAAACTGAAAAAATCAAGAATAACCCTTATAATGTGTTTGAAATGTTTTTCAAGAATTAATTTTCATTTGACAGGGACATGATAATATGGTACTAAAGATGCAAAACACAGTAAAAACCAGCAATCGTATTTTATTGAGACATTTAACAGCCGGGAATTGTTTTCAAATCTTGATTCTTCGTGATTATGGTTTTATCTGAAATTTAAATTTGATAACTGAATCACAATCAGGAGGTCAAAATTATGAAAAAAACATGTCACGAACGTAAATATGGGTTTAGGTTTAGTTTTCTCAAATTTTCACCAAAATGTTATTTTGAAAAAGTGGTCTTTGCTTAGGCCCTCTGAAAATAATGAAAGTTTGTTGCTTGTCGCTTGTTCAGAAATATTTAAGGAACATTATTTCACCATCTTATCTTCTTGTTCCTAAAAAGACTGAGTGTATTGCCTACAAAAAAGCCTTAAATGTACTCTTTTGAAAAAAAAATCTTATTTTCGTTTCTAAGATTCCAATTCGACAAATTTGAAAAACGCTAATACTTCATTATTTTAAAGTAAAAACGAGGAAATAGTATATTCTGTAACAAGTTTGGAATATGCAATTCCAAACGTGTTTCAGACTATACTTTTTCTACGTTTCCAAAAAATACCATAGAAAAGTCATTTGATTGGAAGAAAGTGAGGTTGGATCGGTCTAAAAGTTGTTAGATAATAAACACAGAGATGGCGCCACGAGTGTTTATTCTGTCATCACATGATAGAATATTTCATTCTGTAACACTCTACGGAATATATATATGTCATTCCATAGATAAAAGTGATAATAGAACGGTCAAATTCCGTAATAGGAGTAGAAAAAAATTATTTTGTTACAATCGGGGCTTGGATGAAGTTATTAAAATTTTTCACCGTTTAACATATCACCCTGTAGGAAATTTACCTGAAGAACCGTGAGCTACATATATATAGCATGAATTGCCAAAGGATGAGGCTAGCATACAACACAGACCAAAATAAAATAGTTCAAGAAACAAAAAAGTTATGTCGTTTTGAAAAAGAACGAACTTTTTGGTCGCGACACATTGAGTGGTGCGCAGTTTATTTGTGGTGTGAAATTAATGCTTGCGAATTCTAATCTATAAGTTTTGGGATTTAACTGTTGAGAGTAGATGTCATAAGTGAAAAGGTTGTATAGGATGGGGGATAATGCAGAGCCTTGGGGAACGCCTTGTTGCATGGAATATGATTTTGATTGTTTCTGGTTGTGTTTAATTAGACTTGGTCTATCTTTTAGGAAGTCTTTTATGTGAATGTGAATAAAGTATTTTGGACAATTAAGGTGTTTAGTTGGTATAATAAACCGGCATGCCAAACACTATCAAATGCTTTGCTAATTTCCATAAAAAGTGCATCTTGTTTGTTTCCTTTTAAGCTGTTGGTTTGAACATTGGAAGTGAGAATAAGCAATGGATGGATTGTGGAAGAATAAGGTCTAAAGCCGAATTGATGAAGTGGAATCTTGTCTTGAAGTTCTTCTGATAGCCTTAATTTGATTATTTTTTCAAGGTTTTTACCAATGACTGGGAGCAGAGTAATAGGGCGAAAGTTGTTTGCTTTTGTAAGGTCACAATTCGGTTTGGGTATGTTTATAATAATACCTATTTTAAATTTTGGTAAGTAATATCGGTTTTTAATACAGTAATTGTATATATCGATAACTTTTTTATGAAATTCAACACATAATTTTCTGAGTATCTTTTTAAAAATATTGTCATTTAAGTTTAAAAAACTTAACAACGCTGTTTTCTTCTGTGCTAAATCACAGGGTTGTTATATAAACCAAAATAATTTAAGCTATCTAAAGATTTGAAACGCGTATAGAAAATTGTTTTCGAAAGCTTTCTAATAAAAAAATTTAAATTATCAGATTTTCTTACTGGAAGCACGTGACCTACCTTTAAACGCTGTATTAATACCTTCCGTAGTTTGCTCATTTTTGGGACTTAGGTATACTTTAGTCCCAAAAATATATAAATTTATAAAGAATAACGTGAATTTTTAAAAAATTGCCATATAATCGTAGTTATACAAGATATCCACAAAATCTCGAAAATGTCCCAAAGGATTACCTTTTATTAGGAAGGGGTATTATGACTATCAAGCTCAACTGCCCTGTGAATGGGAATTTGGGATTTTGGAAAAAAACATTTCTTTTTTTAACACCCTGTAGTATAATGCTATGTGCACAATATCCTATTCCCAAAATTAGAACATAAGAGTCAAAGAATCAACTATTGCTCATTTTTTGGACTAAACTGGGAAATAACGACAATTTTTGAAAAATTGGCATATACAGGGTGTCCGGGAAAAGGAGGTCAATCCGTTAACCATATATTCCTTGAGTTAAAACAATAAGACTTTTATAATACCATTTTTCAATTTAGGCCTTCATGTTCGATATACAGGGCGACAAAGTTTGAAATTAAAAACTGATTTTTTTTAATAATTCGAGTAATTGATAAGATACTAAGTTTAAATTCGGTACACTACTTCAACATAAATACTTACATTTTTTGAGACCAACAAAACAAAAAACAATTGTCAAATAATCAAAATAGGGGGGTCCAGTACTCACTGACTCCCCCTATTTTTTAGTACGTGCGCCAATGACTTCCAAACAGAATTTTTTCAGGTAATCATTTATTGTTAAAAATGTTTTGTATCCTATAAAATTTTGATAAAATGATTTGTTTTAGAGATAATTTGTAAAGTATGGGTCAGTCCATATCAAATTTTCAAAATTTAATTTTTTTTGAAAAAATGTAGGTCATGTGATATATCATAAAAAAGTTCTCTAATAGGCCTTTAAAATAAGCCATCACTCACCTTTCTACTTTTAATAGTTTACGAGATATCGCTATTTTTGTAAGTACTTGCAAGACCCATATTTATCGGAATTTTCAAAAATCAATAAAACAAAAACCACCTATCGAAAAAAATTCATATTTGGGATTTTTGAGTTTTTTAGTGAGGTAAACAAATTTACCAAAAATGATCAAAATCGGAGATGGTGGGGGAAGAACCTTTGGTTGATTTGATATGGACTGACCCATACTTTACAAATTATCTCTTAAACAAATCATTTTATCAAAATTTTATAAAAGACAATTTTTTTTTAACAATAAATGATTACCTGAAAAAATACCGTTTGGAAGTCATTGGCGCACGTACTAAAAAATAGGGGGAGTCAGTGAGTACTGGACCCCCCTATTTTGATTATTTAACAATTGTTTTTTGTTTTGTTGGTCTCAAAAAATGTAACTATTTATGTTGAAGTAGTGTACCGAATTTAAACTTAATATCTTATCAATTACTCGAATTATTAAAAAAAATCAGTTTTAAATTTCAAACTTTGTCGCCCTGTATATCGAACATGAAGCTCTAAATTGAAAAATGGTATTATGAAAGTCTTATTGTTTTAACTCAAGGAATATATGGTTAACGGATTGACCTCCTTTTCCCGGACACCCTGTAATCGTAGTAAGCCACGATATTCACAAAATCTCGAAAACGTTCCGAGGGATTACCTAACTTATAATAGGGAGGGGTATTACGACTATCAAACTGAACTGCCCTATGAATGGAAATAACTTGAAATTTCGGAAAAATACATCTCTTCAACACCCTGTAGTATAATGCTATAGCACATATATGTGCAATATATATGGTAATACGATATATTGCACATATATGTGCAATATATCGTATTACCAAAATTAGACATAAGAGTCAAAGAATTCAGAATTCAGAATTTCGAAAGATTTTCAAAATCGATTCAGTAATTTTTCAATAAAGAGCTTTCAAATATTTTCCAAAAAACTAGGTGCGTCGTTTTTTATGACGATCAGTTTATATGAAAAACAATACAACTAACTTCATGATAAAAATGTTTTATTTTATTTTAAATTTTTAAATACCTATTCCTATATTTTGAGATGTGCACATAACATTGTGTATTTTTTACTTGCTTTATAATTATAAAAAAATATATTATTATTATTATATTAAAATAATAGATACACCGAGTTTAAAAAGAAAGTAAGGCTTTTTTGGATCAGAAAATAATCTGTATAAATATGGACTTAAAACAATCAAATAACAAAAATTAAATAAAATTTTTAAACTCTTATAACGCAAAAGTTACCTACAACATAATGTTTTTTAGGTACTTAAAATAACCATCCCTATTGCGTAATTTTCAGGACAAACTGTATACTACGCACCGCGTAGTATGCAGTGATAGTTTGAGGGTATTTTTGGATTTTTTTAAACTTAAAAGTTACAATATATTGTGTAATAATAATATTTGCTAAATATTTTGACTTACATGATGTTTTATCTTCACATCGTAAAGTTTACAACAATATATTTTTTAATTAATACGGTTAATGCGATTGGAAAAAATCAGATGTATAATTGTATTTTAGATTATGGATAATTTTTTTTTAACATTGCATAGTGTTTTGTACTTTTAAAAAATCGATTCTTAATTTTATTCAATCTTTTTAACTTTTGTTCTCTGCAAATCAAA